ACCTGGGGCAGGGTAGATTCAGGGTGTGGGCTCCAGCCGGGTGGCATTTACCTCAGGCGGCTCCCGGTCGGTGGCACAGTGGGGCTAAGGAAGGTTCCCTGCCTGCTTTGGCTCTGTGCTGCTCCTGGAAGCGGCCGCCATGTCCGGCCCCTAGGCGAAGGCGCAGCCAGGTGGCTCTGCGCCGCGCACACTGCACACATCTGCAGGTGCTGCCTCCACAGCTCCCATTGGCCGCTGTTCTCGGCCAATGGGAGCTGCGGAGCTGGCGCTTGAGGTGGGAGCAGCGCGCGGAGGTTCCCTGATTGCACCTGTGCCTAGGGGCTGCAGGGACATGCCAGCCACTTCCACGGAGCTGTGCAGAGCCAGGGTAGGCAGAGAGCCTGTCTTAGCCGTGCCGTGCCGCCGACCAGACTTTTAACAGCCCAGTCAGAAGTGCTGTCCGGAGCCGCCAGGGTCCCTTTTTCACCGGGCGTTCCAGTCGAAAACCGGACGCCTGGCAAACCTAGTCTCTGAGGCAACATTTTTCAAAAGGGCCCTGTGTGACTTGGGAGCCGAAATCCCACTGAATTTCACTCAGCTTTGGTCTACATTAGGAACTTATGGGCGGTATCAGTACGAAAATCCACACCTCTAAGGGACATTGTTATACTGAGCTTTCCTCCAGTGTGGACAGTGCTATGTTGATGGAAGGGCTTCTCGAGCTAGCTACTGCCTCTTGGGGAGGTGGAGCACCTACGCCAACGGGAGAAGCTCTTCCATCAGTGTAGGTTGCATCTCCATTAAGTGCGACAGTGGCACAGCTGTGCTGCTGCAGCACTGCAAGTGTAGACAAGCCCTGTGTCCCTTGAGGCCTCGCTCCCTAAAGGTAGTTAGAGGCCTAACTGCCCCTGAAACCCGTTGGAACTCGGCGCCTGAGTGCCTTTGAGGAGCTGGGTCTCAGGCACTCCGGAACTGGTTCCCTATGCTAATACGGTCCTTGTAGCCTGGCGACAGGCGTGCCAATTAGTGCCCAGTCTGATATTGTGCTTTATCATCTGCCTACTGGAATCTGGACTGACACTACCAAGTCCTTTCACTAGACAGCCAACAGATGCTTATAGCACTGAGGCAGTCTGAACCTGAACTGTGCAGTGACCTTCTCCTGACCTGGCCCCTACTGCTTCCTGCCCTTCCTGTCTGCCTCTGCAAACATTCCCCATCCTTCCCCCTGTTGTAGGGGGAGCCCTTAAAGGGACAATGCCCCTTTTCTTCCAGCCAGTGGGTCAGAGGACCCCTCCCTCCCCCCCAATATGGAAAGTTGCAGTGAGCACATTTATTTTTAAATGCGTAGTTAGAGTCTGAAGTCCATCCCCCTCCCCGCAGTCACACCCTGAAACTGCTCTGAAAAAAGCCCCTTACACTTAACAGACTTCAAGTGCATAGGTGTGGCCATTCTCAGGGCAACAGCTGTGAGTCTGTATTCAATAGGAGGAATTCTGCTTGATGAAAGACCACAAAATATGGCCCTCAATTAAGATTGTCAAGGATTGATCTGTATTGTTCGATTTTTAAAGCAAGTCACTCATGTCTAATGTCCTGGATAGTGCAGTTTCCTATTAACTCTAACACACACACACACACACACACACACACACACACACACACACAGCTCAGTGGGGTCCTGGTTCATGACCTACTGCCACTCCTGATTGTTACCACTGTACAAATAATAATACTAATAATATTTTCAAAAATGACTAGTGATTTGGGGTGCTTTCGTGTTCGACCGCCAAACCTGAAATGCCTTAAAAGAGGCCGGAGTTTCCGAAAGGCTGAAAACACACCCTCTGAAAGTTAGCCCCCCCCCCTTTAGGGTGTCTCAAGTTGGCCACCCAAAAATGGAGGCGCCCCAAATTATTAGTCACGTTTCAAAATCCAGAATCTTGGCCATCGATGATTTAGCTGTTTCAGAACTATGTTGTTGGCCTAAATTGCCTCTTTGCTGTGCAAAAAAGGCCCAAGGTTTGGGAGGATGGTTGCTGTATGACTGGGTTGGCCATATAAACTGATAAATGCCAGGTCTGCAGGGCTACGGTTCAATGAAAGAGTCCAGCTTGTATCCAGCATTTAAGAATGCTGATGGCGTAACTAATATAGCTCATGAATACCAGCAGAGCCCAAAGATTCAATTACTGCATTGGTACTGAATGAAGGACTGTCTGTTTAGAGTTGTGTGTAGTGTATGAAAAATTACTGGCTAACAAGCAATCTAATTTCAGCTCTCTCACTAGCTGCCCAGGGTTGCTAGAACGGCGGAGAAAGTGAGTGTGGAAGAAAGAAGGAAACTGGCAAAAGGGAAAGAGAAAAAATGTTTTCAGTCCATTCCGGGCGCCACACGCTGCTTTTTAGGAATTGTGGCAAAAGCGTGAGCTGGGGAACTGATGATGCAACATGTATATATTTTTTAAAATGAGCCTGTATGTGTATGTGAATTTAGTGTTCCTACAGGTGAGGTTCGTCTAATCATATTAGCCAGGCACAGATTAGGCAAACCATAAGCAAGTTCGGCCAGTGCAAATCAGCCCAGCTAACCCCTTCTCTTCCAGTCCTCGGAGCCCCTCCGTGTGTTCACTTGAAAATAAAGTTTAGGGGTGAAGTTAATTTCTGCACAAAATAACAACCCACCTGGATCCTGCAACCCAAAAGGCAATTTCAAGGGAATATGGGATGGGATGGAGCAGTTTACTCGGGGATGTTCAAGCCAATGGGTGTTAGGCACCTAACTCCCTTAGGTCCCTTTGAAAATCCCAGTCCTAAAGAATCTCTAATCTCATCCTGTTTTTGTTTATTTGTGTAGTGCCAGCAGCAGGATCAGGTGCTTTGTAGGGAGGGATGAAGACGAAGGGTGACATCCTGGCTCCATTTAAGTCAATAGCAATTTTACTAGCATTTCACCCAAGCTCTCTGCCCCCAAAGAGCAATCGAAATAGAGACCTGACAAACAAAGCAGGGTGCCAGAGCAGCAACAGACTGCAGTGCAATTGAACAGTGAGACTCAGCACCCAGTTTGTCAGTTCCATGGATTGCAATATCTTTGCTCTCGCGTCTCTGTTTCAGTCAGTTAGAACCCCATGGCGGGAGGTCGGGTTCATGAGCCTCCTTAGAGAAATGTGGTGTTAAGAAAGGGCTTGAACAGGGAGGGAGTGAAGCAGATGGACTGTATCAAGTAGCGGGGCCCAGGTAGATGGGGCAGCTTGAAAGAAGGCCCAGAGATAGGAAAGGAGGAGGCACAAAGTGGGCACTTGGTCTCATAGCTTGTGAAGAGTGAAGGGGATCGGGGGCGGGGTGAGTAGAAACAGAAGCAGAGGAGTGACCACCTGAATGCATAGGGCCTTGAAGGCAAAGACGAGGCATTTAAATTGGATCCAGACAGTGAGGGGGTGAAGCTGATGGAGGCAGCTGAAGAGGGCCTGAGCTATGGTTTTTATTGCAGTGGGGAAAGTATTGCAAAGCTTCATGCTGAATAAAGGGCAGTATGCCTGTCACATTACATCAAACACCGTATCAAGTGTCCTGTTCAGGATTCTTCCCCTTACTGCTTGCTCTAGCTGTGCCATGGGCATCTTCAGGTATTGGCCTTCGCAGTGACCTTTAACCTCATTCAAACCCAGATTCACGGTCCGATGCTATGGAGCATTTAAAAATATGCTTTGTTGTTTAATTTGTGGCCCCATATTTCAAGGGAGTATTAGATGCAATGGACTTGAGATTATTACGTTGAGATCAAGACTGAAATCGGGTGTATTATTTGAATTTACAAATGGGGTATGCCCCATCCCCCACTATATACTTCAGGACTGATTCAGCCAAATAAACACCTCCAATAATGCCCCCAGCTTTTACACACTAGAAATCTCCTTAAAGTGATTTTAGGGATGTTTCCTACTTGACTTCTGAAAACTCCACTTGAAGGAAACCAGACCTAGAGGACCCAATTCTGCTCTCATTTCTAAGGGTGTAATGGGATCCAGTGAAGGCAGAGTTGGCCTGAAGGGGACAGACATCTTCCAGAGCCTGAAGGCCAGATTCTCAGCTGGTGTAAAATGTCACAGCTCCACCACTGACTTCAATGGAGCTGCACCAGATCTGAGGATCTGTCCCCAAAGTTTGATTCCCATGCAGGGCTCCGACTTGAATTAACAGGATTGAATTTGGCTCCAGCTATTTTGCCTAGTTCATCTTCATCCTTTGTTGGATCAACTGCTTTGTTGCTATAACACTTAAATGGGACAAGGTGATTCAGCCCATAGAAATTATCATAATTACACGTCTACAAAATCCAATGCATAAGCAATACAAAAAAAAGACGACAGTTTAATATACAATATGGATCCTTCAAAGTCTCATTATATCTTCTCAGAAACGTTTTTTATGCGGAATCTGTCAAGTTAATGCCCTGGCTCCATGTATTTTGGGGTCTCACATCAGCAGTACATTTTTGTGGTCTGGGCAGAAAGCCAGCACGTTTGCCTTAGATAAGCAAATGAATGCTATGAATAGATCATTTCCCACTTCCTTGGTGCAAGGCTTGCCATTTCAGCTGTGCAAAGGTGCAGACAGAAGCAACAGAGCTTTATAATCATCTTTATTCCTTGGCCAATAATGTATGGGACAGAAAGGTGCACTTAGTCACTGCCGACTGTGCGGCTTGCTGAATAGGCACATAGGCAGTGGAGTTAGCATTTAATCTGGTGGGCTGCTCCTTTAAAATATTGGACGGCTTTAGGACATAAGTAGCTCATGGTGTGTCTGCAGTAAATGCCTCAGGCACATGTTCTACCACTGGATCCCATTGACTCCATTGGGGTGATGCAGCGTAAGCTTTGGAAGTACCATCATGAAACCAGGAGACGAGCTGAACCTCCGTAGAAACTTGTTCTGTTTGAACTTGTGCAGCTGCCCCGTGTGACCAAGTTATTTTATGCCTTGTCCTCTGAGAATCATTTCTTTTCTCCTTGCAGAAAATCCTGAGCGTGCCGCTCTGTATTTCGTCTCTGGGGTATGCATCGGACTCATCTTGACCCTGTTGGCCTTGGTGCTGAAGGTGTCCTGCCGAACTGACTGCAAGCAATCCCCGGGGAAAAAGCCACCTCGGGAGCCGGAGAGCGACAGCGACAGCAGTGACAGTGAGGATGATTCGGACACCACTTCGGACCTGTCGGCCCGCAGGCACCGCAGGTTCGAAAGGACTTTGAACATGAACGTCTTCACCTCGGCCGAGGAGCTGGAGAGGGCTCAGAGGCTGGAAGAGCGAGAGCGCATCATCCGGGAGATATGGATGAATGGGCAGCCGGACATTCCGGGGACCAGAAGCCTGAACCGCTACTACTAAGTGTTGGGAAATCCCACAGGCCGGTACTGCAGCCTAGGTCTTCCTGGGCCTGCTAAAGAGGAGAGAGAGGAAAGGAGTGTTACATTGGAGTCTCCCCTTTTCCTTTCAGAAGGGCTAACTGGAGCAGCGTGGATGGACAGCAATAAAGCTTTCACCTTCCCCTTTTCCCTGACATATTGCTACCGACACCAGGAAATCACCCCCCAGTATTTTCTCTCTGGAATCAGTCTGGTTACAGCAGAGGTGGATGCCAGCTTCTCTTCTTGGTGTAGTTCAACGGTGGGTGGAAGGCATGCAAGTAAAGCCCTCCCCCAGCTCTTGGAAGTTGAACATGCTACGGTACAAACGCTGCTCTCATGCTTGCCAGGGAAACCATCAGTGTTCTGCTTTCCCCAAAGACTTCAGGAGAATCGAAAGCAAACTGAGACTGTGTGTCCACCAAAGGAAAGATAACATGGGGAGGGAGGCACAAGCGCATGATGAATGACTGTCTTGTGACTTTATAAGATGTGGGGATTCTTATGCCATGAAATCATCTTGGTGCTTGGACGTTCAACAGTGTGTCCTGTTATTTAAGATGGTGTTTTAATCTGCTGGCAGCATTTTTTTTATTGACACCTCAGGGATAAAATCCTTTTTTAAAAAGATGTTTCCCCTTCTTCTTCCCCACAAACCAATCTGCTCCCACCAGGGAAATTATGGTATTATAGGAGATGTGTCAGTGATCAGTGAAATGTTAAACAGCCTCAAAGAGGTTGAAAGGGGTTTTGTTTGTTTTGAATTGATATATATATATATATATATTTGAAGAGGCTGCACAGCAATGTGCCTTATTCTTTTTTATTGTTAAACTACAGTTTTCCATGGATAGTGATGCACAATGTTTTATATATTTTATTAAAAAAATAAAAGAAAAGGTTTGTATTTACAAGAGGAAAACGGGGATGAAATGGGTCAAATACGCCAGGAGGATGGGAAATAAATGCGAAATAAACTCTGCTTTGTTTATATCTATTTTAATTTGCATCCTTGCTCCTGGCTCATGCTTCGCTGCAGTAAGATACTTTGGAAGAACAACAAGCTTTTGCAGCCACTCAAAGCTGATGCAAGTGTCTAAGGCAGTGGTAGGCAACCTGCGGCCCGCAGGTTGCCCACCACTGGTCTAAGGGTACGTCTACACTGCAAAAGAAGGTGTGTTCTTAACTCAGGTTAGTCAACGCAGGTTAAAAAAGCAGTGAAGATACAGCAACTTGGCTTTTAACTTGGGTTTTCACACACACACACACACACACACACACACACACACACACACACACACACACACACACACACACACCACCC